CTACACACACACACACACACACACACACACACACACACACACACACACACACACACACACACACACACACATATATATATATATATATATAAAGAGTTAGTGGGGGTGTTAAGAATTTAAATAACGGATATCTGGGGATATCAGCATAAATTTATCAAAAAAATAATAATTTTGTAAACAACATGAAAGGTAGAAGACATTTAGGATATCTGACACTTGAATATTTTGGGACTAATAGGGTGTGTTTTCGTGATTATTTGCATTATCACTTATTTCATTTCTAAGTTCAGATCCCAGTACTATATATAAATATGTAGACCCATACAATTCAAGAATCCTCCAAGTTGGATCCAAATGATCGGAATTGGTCCCTGTCGAGTTCCTATATTTTTTGGCTCTAACGACTCAAGGGAGTGGCCCCAATTAATTTATACGAAATGTAACTAATGAGACTTTTCTAGTTTCATATTTTTTTTTTCATTTCACATTTCCTAGCTATTTCATAAAAGATTCCATGTCATAAGTGTTGGTCAGTTGCACCAAATAGTACGTTTAAGTTGTGAGGCCCCTTGAATGGAAATTTTAACTGGTTCAAAAACAGAAAAGGTCAAGTCTTGAGGCACCCATAGTTCTCCAATTCACATACACCCAACAGTTTAGTGGGCAAACATACAAATATAAACAATTAAATACCAAAGGGTACAATTACAAGTCAACAAATTTCATGAAAAACCTGTTCTTTCTCTTCTCAATCCTCCTTATAATCTTATTTCTCCTAATTCCCACAAAACCCACTTATGAGAAAACTATACTCTGTCTAAACAATCCTTGTGATTTTCACCTGCCTTCAAAACGTAGAATCTTTAGGAGTTCTTCAAAACCCAACAATGAGAAACCAATTCTCTCTGCTACTTGTCATTTTTATGTCTCTCTTTCTCTCAATCTCAATAGCTAATGCAAAAATGCAGAGGTTAAACAGAGGATCATCTCTCCATGTGGAGTCCCACTCTGATATCCTTGTTTCACCTGATGGCTCCTTCTCAGCCGGGCTCTATAAAGTGGGCCTCAATGCCTACTCCTTCGCTATCTGGTTCACCAACTCGGCAAACAAAACTGTCTCATGGATGGCTAGCAGAGACCGCCCCGTTAATGGCCGACGCTCGAGACTGTCTTTATGGAAAGATGGAAACTTGGTCTTAATTGATGCAAATGACGCAGTTATTTGGAGCACAAACACAAATTCAACTAGCAGCTATGCAGAGCTCTTGGAGACAGGAAACCTGGTTTTGAGAGACCCAAATGATCGAATCATCTGGGAAAGCTTCGAATTCCCGACTGATACCCTCCTCCCAAACCAACCATTCACAAAAGGCATGAGATTGATCTCAGGCAGAGGAGAAGGAATGTATTCCCCAGGCTATTTCAGCTTCTTTTTCGACAACGACAATGTTCTTAGAATGATGTACGATGGTACTGAGATTTCAAGCATATACTGGCCGAACCCAGATTACACTTTATGGGCTAATTGGAGAACATTATATAATAGCTCTAGGTACGCTTTCTATGATGAATTGGGGAGGTTTGTTTCTAGTGATAAATTTGAATTCTATGCTTCTGATTGGGGTTCAAAGCTTAAGAGGAGATTGACAATGGATTATGATGGTAACCTTAGGCTTTATAGCCTTGATGAATCAACAGGGCTTTGGTCAATTACATGGTTAGCCATCACAGAGCAGTGTAGAATTCATGGACTTTGTGGAAGAAATGGGATATGTACTTATAAACCACAGCCAACATGTGCATGCCCCCCACACTATGACGCAAGCGACCCAAAGGACTGGACAAAAGGGTGCATAACCAAGTCCAAAACAACCTGTGATCCTCTGAAAGTTGGGTTTATAGAGCTTCCTCAAACTGATTTTTATAGCTATGATATCAACTATACTACGCAAATAACCTTGGAGGCCTGTAGAAATAGATGCTTAGATGATTGTTCTTGTGAAGGTTTCATGTATAGAATTGGTGGGGATGGAGGGTGTTACCTCAAGAGTGCTCTCGTTAATGGATACACATCTACAAGTTTTCCAGGAAGCACATATATAAAAGTAACCATAGATGTAGCCTTAAACCACACTGGAAATCAGAGCACTGGCTTGAAAGATCTTGAATTGAGATGCCCAACTGGTGATGTTGCAGTCACAGAGGTGCTTGAAATTTATGGGGAGAGCAAGAGTACAACTCTTCTGTTGTATTGGTTTGCGAGTGCAATTGGTGGAATTGACATCATATTCGTAGCGGTTGGGTGGTTCGTCCTTTATAGGAAACATGGTATGCCTGAAGCCATAGAGAAAGGCTACAAGGGTATATCAAGCCAATTCAGGAGGTTCACATACAAAGAGCTTAAACAGGCTACAAGGAACTTCAAAGAAGAGCTTGGAAAGGGGGCTTTTGGTGCTGTTTATAAGGGGGTTTTAAGTGATGGTAGGATAGTTGGGGTGAAGAGGCTACATGATGTAATGCAAGGTGAGAAAGAGTTTTGGGCAGAAGTGAGCACAATAGGGATGATATACCACACAAACTTAGTGAGGATGTGGGGCTTCTGTGCTGAGGGTTCACATAAGCTATTAGTTTATGAGTACATGGAAAATGGGTCATTAGACAAGCCCTTGTTCTTGGAGGGAACCACTCTGGACTGGAACCAGAGGCTTGAGGTTGCTGTAGGCACAGCAAAGGGCCTAGCTTACTTGCATCATGAGTGTCCAGAGTGGGTATTACATTGCGACGTGAAACCCGAAAACATACTACTAGATGAGGGTTTTGAGCCAAAGATAGCTGACTTTGGGCTGGTGAAGCTCCTTCAGCGAAGAGGTGAAGGAAGAAACAATAAGTCCATTATAGGAGTGCGTGGAACCAAGGGATACATGGCACCAGAGTGGACTCTAAATCTTCCTATAACAACAAAGGCAGATGTTTATAGCTATGGAGTAGTTTTGCTAGAGATGGTGAGAGGGCATAGATTATCAGGGCCTATGGTGGTTGATGGCCATGAAGAAGTCGAGCTTTGGCATTTGATCAGGTTTGTCAAGAGGAAGATGGAATTGGGAGAGGAATGGGTGGAGGCAGTGGTTGATGTAAGATTGGAAGGGAGGTTCAGCTCAAGGCAGGTAGAGGAGGTGGTGAAAATAGCTCTATCCTGTGTAAGAGAGGAGAGAGAGAAGAGACCATCCATGGATATGATTGTGCAGGCCCTCCTTGTATGTACAGATATTAATGGGCTATGAATTTTGCATGATTTGGGTCATAGATATTTCTCAGAAATGAATGTTTTATCTACATTAACATTGGCTTTTAGAAGTGGTTGAGTTCAGGGATGCAACTGATGTGAAAGCTGGAGTTCCAAGAAGAGCCTTGAGGCATTTCCCCAGCATGAAGGCCTCTAGTAGATGGAGAAGGTAACACTGAACTTCAATCCAGTGTGTGCATATGTATGAGAGAGAGAGAGAGAGAGAGAGAGAGATGATTAGGGATCACAAACTCATTAGAGGAGCTACAAGAGATTTATCATATCCAAAAAGTCGAGGTGCGTTCTTTTCATCATGGAAACTGAATATGTGTGTAATATCTACTTATTAACCTTTTCTTTTTCATGTCCTCCATTTTGCATATGTATTCTTTACAACATAATGTATATGTGGCGTTCTGAGAATCATCGATATGGTGGGAAACCACTTTCTCTCTCTCACACACACACGCTCTCTCTCTCTCTCCCCCTCCCCCCCCCCCCCTGACTGCCCCCAAAAAAAAAACATTGGCATAGTCAGTCATACACGCTCATGGATTTGAGTTTGCCTTAGTTGGCTCTTGGTATGGGTCATGCACACTCATATGCTTTATGCTGTCTTAGTTAGCTGCACATGCCAGAAACAACATTAAAAGACTTGGTGGATTCGACTCGAACTCGGCCTAGTTAAATGCTTGGCACTTTGCCAAGTCGAGTACCAAGGTACAAACTTGAGCTATACAAAAAAAGTAAATTTATCATAATATTCATAAGCGATTTATTATTTGAAATTTTACCTAACTCAAGAACATGTGTTTTTTATGGGTGTTTTGAAAAAATAAATCGAAAGATATCGATTAAGTGTTAAATTGTTCATCTCTTATCCAAAGTTCCCTTTAAAAATATAAAAAATTGTAAACATTTTATTTTGTACTAATCAATCAAATGTTATATAAAATTTTGAATGATACAAAATTTGTACAAAAAAAAAGTATTTTGTACTAATCAGTGCATCTATATAAAATTTGAATGATAGAAAAAAGACAATGATTTTGAACCTCGGTAAAAAAATCACATAGGATCCGGGCCAGTAATTCTAAGTTGAAGGATATTGAATGATGACTTTTCTAAGATGAAGTTAACAAAAAATGTCAATTGAATTTGAAGAGATTTGCTTGATTACCTTTATACTTATGGCAGTTGGCAACAGTTGCCCACTCCTGATTGGCCAATGACAAGCTGTTCTATGACATGGATAGAACATTTTGGGTCTCAACATATTCTTTCAAAGTGTGACTTGATATGTTAAAGTTGGTTTGATAAGCAATGAGTGCTGCAGCTCCTATGTGAAGATTGTTATACCTAAAAGGCTGAAATTACTGGAACTTACTTTTACTACTCTATGACTAAAGAACAAGTTTTAGCCTACTGTTTAAAAACCTAGATCAAAGTGATTTGGCATTCTGAAAATCCAGTCTATATTGACGAATCGGGCTGATACTTAGATGCAAGAATAGGACAATAAAAATAAAAATATTACAAAATAAAAAGGAAAGATATAATATTTGGGAACCATGAACCATACGATCTGGCCGGTTCCCTGACCGTACCGAGCAAGTCCATAGGAAAGGGTTCAATTCCCGACTCCAACAAGGAACCTCGTTAATTTGGACCAGCTCCGGGCCGGATTGGTGATTTGGATCTGGACTGCCGGTTTCAAATCCCTTAAATTTAGCTTATCCTATATTCATTGCACTTGTAGTGTAGCCATCATGCCCTGCCTCTGCTATATAAGATTGGCTTTTGTAAGAGGGAAGCTTTGTGTCTTTCCATATTATCAAAAATCCATGTTTACAAATTACAATAAACATTGAAAATTCAAAAAATTAATTTTTGGGATCTTTGGTCTAATGAGATATAACAGACATTAAGCTCACTCCATAATTTGACAAAAATCCAAGTTTACTACAATGTGATCAATCTAGAGATGGAAGCATGTTACACCCCGATTTAAAAACAACATGACGTAATGAAGCTTCTGAACATCTTTCTTAACCTTTGAATCACAACTAAACAATATCCAATATCCATTCAGAACCTTTGAATTTGCAACTAAACAATATCCAAGCAGCCGAAAGTGTTCAAAAGGTACCCAAAACTGGGAAGGAAGTAAAGACAAGTACCATTTAAAGTTGGCAATGTCCATGTGGGCTTGGATTGAACAAGAAATGCGCATAACCATGGGATGATATACGTGGTGTAGGTAATCTTCTCTTCGGTCAAGGAAACCCAATTTGGCCAAAATCCGGTGATTTTCTGTCAATGTTCTTAGATGCCGTTGATTAGTTGATCCAGAAGCCAATGGAGAAGACCCTTGATCTTGAAGGGTTGTGTTGGGTTTATGTGGCCTTTTAAAGGCTTATGAGTGAGGAATGGAAAACATTTACTATAGTGGAACATAAACTCAGTGGAGGTGTGGTCCCTCGATGAGGTCAGAGCTTATGCAAAAATGAGTGAGCCGAGGGATTGTGTGACCCTTGTGTGTGATGGTAAGCCTATAGAGACGGGGGCCAAAACCTCATCCATATTCCATCACACGGCATGTATATAGATAGATCGTTTGGGAAAACTTGATATCCACCTTTGGGTGAAGCATATGCATGTGCGAGAGATACCCTATGCGTCATAAAGCTGTGGTCGTATCAGGTCGTGGTAACTTTGACTTGTCTCTAGGGGAGGACCTGTAATCCACAGACTGGGATTGCGACTCCTTGGCTCATCGACCAGACTTTTGATGATCCGCTAATGAGCCCCTGCTTGGACTGTGGGTCATGGGAAACACTAAGTCAGTTCTATAAAGCAAGTGTGGTCTGTAGTCCACAGTTGAAGGTGGAGTACCCTGTGATCGTTGATTGAATTCCTGAACCATATGGATCCACTTCCCATCATATTAATTTAATTGTGTTGATTTTATTATTAAATTATTTAAGTTTATTATTTGAATTTTTATAAGTCATTTGATATTTTATTTCTTATTTTTGGACTTATAAAAATAAAGTTATTAATTTACAAAGTTATAATGTTTTAAAATTCATTTTTTAAAATATTTATTAAAAAAATACATGGGGGCCCATAGTGCACATGCGCTCATCATGTGGGTATTAGGTGGGCCCCCACATACCATACATGGGTGGCACGCCCCACCCTTGGATACCTTATCTCTTTTTGTCCTCAAGTTTGTTAAAAATGGTAACTACATTTTGTAGCATGTGGTCAAATGTTGATAAGGAAATATTGACCGTATCATATCTTAATTATTAAAGGAATATCTTGACTTGATATTATTGAAATATTCTTATGAAAAATATGAGATGGAATATGCAATTTATGGTATGCACTATATCTTTAATGGATTAATTTATTGAAATATATTGATAGGAAAATAGTTTAAGGAAAAGGGGGATAATTGTTCATGTGCCTTCCATAATGTTAATGGCCCATTTATGGAATAGATGGCTCAGATCTCTCACCCTACAAATCACCTTGATCAACGGTCTATATTTAATCTCAAGAAAGAGGCATACTATGGAAACTCTAGACTTAAATTTTACTATAAATAGGGATGCTCTCCCCCGATCTCAACATACATCTCTCTCCCACAAACTCTTTCTCTATCTTCCCTAGGGGACATGCCTTTTCATTGGTATCAAAGCTAGTTTTACTTGATTGCCAATAGGAGTTTTGTTTTTTTTTTTTTTTTTTGAGAATATAAAATAATGGCTGCTCGTACCTTCATCTCTAAAATCCTGAAAACCGAAAGGTTTGATGGGACCAACTTTGCTTCATGGAACAGAAAAATCAAATTTGTGTTCTATGAAAAAAACTTGCATGAGACACTCTTTGAGGACCGACTTCATCATCCAACTGACGACTCATCTCAAATAATCAAAGATGAGTACACCAACTGGAAGATGAGGAACTTGATATGCAAGCACATTCTTTTATGTGCCATGATTGACTCGTATGCTTCTGAGTACGAGTCAATCTATACTGCAAGTGAGATTTTTGATAAACTTGAAAGAGAGTATGCTGAACCCTCTCATGAAGCAAACTATGGCTATGAGAAGGTACAATGATTTAAAAATGGTAGAAGGTACTAAGTTTGCAGATCATGTGCACGTGTTTCGTGCACTAGAAGAAAGGCACCAAAATTGGAGGAGCTCATCACGACCATCAAATCTGAAGAAGAATGGAGGAGCTCAAGGCAAACCCCAAGGAATGCTGTGCATATGGTAAAATCTCAACCATATTTTAAATTTAAGAAAAGAAAGGGAAGAAATATTTTTGAGAAGAAAATATATTTCAAAAGAAGAGATTTTGGAAATAAGGGAGCAAAGAGAGAGACTCAAACTTGTTTTATTTGCAAGAAGGTGAGCCACAGAGCCAATAATTGTCGGTCCAACAAATCTGGTGGAACTATCAAAGAATTGGCATGTGTGGTTCGATTCCATGCTAGCTGATCCCAAGGAAGCTTCTTGGTGTCTTGACTCAGGGGCTACGACTAGTCACAAACACTAAGGAAGATTAACGTTCTTTCACTCTCATGGGGTCAGGACAGCAGCATATTTATATGGGAGGAAATCAGAAGACTGATGTACTTGGAGTTGGATACTTTGAGCTGAAACTAAAGAGTGGGAGTACCTTGATCCTAAAACAAGCACTATATACTTTTGATATGAGGAAGTGCTTGGTTTCAGTTCTTAAGATATCTATGGCTGGATTCATAACCACTTTCATTGGAGAGAAAGTGGTGGTCAAGAAGGGAAGATATGTGATCATGATTGGACGACTTGTAGATGGGCTATTTTCTATTGAAATAAAAGAGAACGTTGCCTATGTCTCATTCCCTAATGAATTAGATGCTACCATATGGCATATGAGGTTAGGACACATTAATATTAAACGAATGGAAAGATTAAAAAAGGGACGGGATTATTTATAATTATAAGGGAGATTTATGGAAAGTATGCGAGTCTTGTGTGCAAGAAAAACTAATAAGGAAAAATACCACTAGGGCAAAAAGCGCTACTAGCGTATTGGAAATCATTCATAGTGACATATGTGGACCTATGAATGCGACCACCAAAAGTGGAAAAAGATATTTTATCTCTTTTATAGATGACTACTCGCGATATGGCCAATGGGTACCTTATTCATGCAAATTCAAAAGCCC